AAGGCCAAACATTAGACAATGGTAGAAACAAATTCTTAGAGACAGAAAGTAGACTAGTGATTGCCAGAGCCTGGGAAGGGGAAAGCTGTTGTTTAATGAGTACAGAATTTAAATTTAGGGAGATGAAAGCTTTTAGGGTATTTCTGGAAATGGATAGTGGTGATAGTTGCACAACAAGGTGAATGTACTTGATGCCACTGAGCTGTACTCTTAAAAATAGCTAAAACAGGGGCCTCCCTGGTGGTGCAAGGGGTTGAGCACAGCACTGTGAAGCTGTCCACAGCCTCTGCACCACGAGTTCAATCCCCAGCCAGCCAGGGAGGTGCCCACATGGTGCAGCAGACCTCTCCTGTCTCACTTGCCGCTCCCCTCAGCAGTGCATTTCAGTCAGTCTGCCTGTTCTGTTCCCCACTCCGTCTCTGATGAATCCTCTCACCCCCTGCACCTCTATCTTAAAATCCCAGCACTGTATAAATGTCAAATCACACCATACACCAAAATTGATTCAAAATGGATTAGACTTGAATACAAGACCTAAAACAAAAACATAGCACTTGCTGGACAACGTACCTCACCTGAAATCCTTTTCCTCACCTACATCTTAGGTGTCATGGTCTGTTGTGAGGATTAGAAGGTCAATGTGGTACAAATAAAGTGTCTTTTTACGCACCTACCCTTCATGAGCGCAGTGTGCCGACATCACTGCCATGCTGATATCTGAAACCTCTACAACTCCCTGCCACAGACATTCCTCACTGGCCAGCACTCATGTGCGTGGGAGGGGGCTTGAGAGGACACTATAACATCCTCCTCTGCTTCCCATTTTCCTGCTGTGACCACCCCTCCCCTCCCACCTATCATTACTGCCCCAAACGCCTCTTCAGTGTCCTTCCAGCCAGTCTCAGGCCTCCTGGTCAGCAGCAGAGTGGACTGTCAATGACGATTCTCTCTCTCAGAGGAATTTTACATCTGGCTGTTGAACTGACGCTTTCCCTCCTTGCACATTGACATGCACTTGTGTGTTTCACAAAGTCCTATAATACCAGAACCCTTTTTTTTACTTTAAGTATCTTGAGCCTCTTCCCTTAAATAAAAAGATTCCCCAAACCAAATTAGAGCATTTTGCTCAAACTCAGGACCTCATGAGAGGCCTGAGACCCACTTTCAGAACTCCTCTGAGAAGGGTGGGTAGAGCTGGCTGATCACCTTGGGTGTGCCGCCACCTTAGCTGCTAGAAACATCCCTTGGTTTGCCTGCAGGGACAGAGACTGGTCACCCAAGAGCTTAGAAAAGAGGACCACCACCTTCAGTGAAAGGTGGAAGCTGCCCTAATGAGGACTAATAACTATACCTCAGACAAGCCAGCAGGACCCCGGGACAGGTCAGGGAGGGGGCACAGCATGTAAGGGCTAGAGCCAGAGGTGTGGCCACAGGAGAGAAGGAACTGGTCAACCATGTACAGAAGTCCATTCAGAAAGAAATAAGCAGAAAATGAGTTCATTCAAAGATTTCTGGAAATCTCGGGGAAAGCTGGGTACCTGGTTTGGAAAATAAACATGAATAAGGATAGTCTAAGGGAGAAATATGACCCCAGTCACTGCACAACAATAGGGCCCAGGGGCAGTGCTGTTGCCACCCCGAGCCAGGACAATCCAGGAGCCCAGCAGCAACTGCCAGCCCCAGCCTGGGCGGAGGCTTCAGCCCCTGCACCTCCCACCACTACCCTGTGTCTTTACTCCAGCTCCTTAGTCTGAGTCTGGAGCAATGGCCTCTACTCTGAGCACAGGCGCCAGGCCACACCCTAGAGGAAGGGAAGGTGGAAGGCAAGCAGCTGCTACCTTCAGTGTCTCTTGTAGGAGCCAGACTTCGACACCTGTTAAGACTCACAAAACATTCCCAGCATAAAGTAAAGGAGGTTCAGAAACTGGGCTGCCCACCAGCTGACATCTGCCAGGTCAGGGAGCCAGGCGATTGAGGGCCAGGTGAGAAACCTTGGGGTAGGAGAGAAGGCATCCCAGTCCAGGAGCCAGGGCCCTGGAGGGAAGCATGGAGACCTGCAGGAGGGTCCTGGACACCCGCAGGGAGGCTCTCCTCGTCTCATACTAGAAACCCAGCCTTGGGAGACACTGAGGAGTCTGGAGCCCACCTCCAGGTGGCCGACCAGCCCATAGGTGGGATCCGAGTGTATCTCTGAAGTTTCCAGACCTCCCCTGTACCTCTTATGGCCTCATTGCTCTGTTTGACCCTTCCCTAAGCAGGTAAACCTACAAGCACCTGGTGCATTGTCAAGGTGTGTTCACAGGTAAATTCCTGCCCTCCTAGTGGACTAAGTGTGCAGGTGGCAGTAGCACCTTAGCAACCCAGGGGTCAGCCCCAGGCCAGTGCTATAGCCACGTGTCACAGAGCGTGTCACTAGGGTTGGGGAGATAAGTAGTGAGTAGGGAGAGAAAATCACATTTATTGAGGACTTACGCTGTGCAGTGACAGGATGTACAGGTAAACAGTTATCTTGCCTATACTTTGCCCAACATTATGCTAAGATACCTAACACATGCTGTTCCATTAGCCCTCCCAGGAATGTGAGCTAAGCATTGTTATCATGTCAAGCTTCCAAAGGAGGTGAAGTAATCTGCCCCCAGGCACCTCATAGATTTCCAATCTGCCCCAATTAAGCAGACAGGATTCAGAGGGCCCAGAACCAGAACCACTGAGGCTGGGCCAGACTCTGCTTGTGGGTCCCCTGTGAGAGCACTTTGGGAGGGAGAAAGCCAGCCCAGAACATTCAGAGCCTTGCTCTCTAGGCTCCCAGGAAAACCCTATCAGGCCTGCACCCCGCTTTAGGAAGAAAAGGGTTGCTAGATGATACTGGTAGACATGGGGTCAAAGGGTAAAAGCCAGGATAGCAAGTCATTTGAGCAAAGTCTTGAACAAAGTCTTGGGCTCCTTCCTGGTGGGGCCCAGGTGGGAGAAGAGCCCACTGCAGAGGCTACAGCTGCTCACAGCTGGCTGTGCTGACAAGACAGCTCAGGGCCCAGCACCTACCCCAGAGGCTGGCAGCCTGGGCCCCCTTGCAGAGGACTCCTGGGCAGAGACTCTAGCCTTTCCCCCCCCCCCAACACACACACACATCCCAGGACTCATCTGCATCTCTTGGCCACACTCCTCAACACTGGAATCCATGGACTTAGCCGTCAAGAAATTTCTGAAATAAGCAGAAGTCATTTTTGTAGTGGAAGTGAGGTATGGTGGGGTGGGGTAGAATAAACCAAAATTCACATAAATAAGTCAAGTTGAATGCACAGAAGAGACGCACTCGGAGAGGCAGTCTACCCTACCGTGCCGTCAGCTCTCCAAAGCTCACCATATCCTGCTGATCCCCTGACCCCCTGAGAGTAAAGGGCAGTGTCAGACCCAAGCTCCACCAATGCTGTGCCACTCATTGTCCAGTGCCTACAACAGTGCCTGGCACATGAGGGCATTCAATAAACATGTGGCTATGAAACAGGGCTATGGGGGTGCTACAGCAACCAAGGACAGTGCCAGTGGAAGTCACCGTCTGTGGGTTTCCACCCGTGTGCACAAGCACAAGACTCAAGGTGGATGTCAAGGCTCAGGGGACAACAACAAAGGGAAATTTAACAAACAGGGAAATCAAAGTGTTTCTAAGGCCTCGGGTGGCGGGCTGTCTCACCCCAGATAGCGGCCAGTTTCCAAAAGTCCCAAACAAAAGGCTGCACATTCAAGATGGTGCCATCCTGCAACAGGGGCCTGGAGCACTCAGTGCGCTGGCAAGCAGATCAGGATCCAACACACCACAGCTGGAGGCGCCCACAGGCGGGCCGCTGAGGTGACGCCACAGCAGCCCCAGCCACAGTCTGAAGGTCAAGATGGCCAGCACCAGGTGTTGGACCAGACAGCAAGAGGATACCCTGTGTTAACAGCTCTCAGAAGTGACCTGCGCCCAGAGTGCCAGTCACCCGTCAGCGGTGCTGCTCACCCGGTCGCCAGCAGTGGTGTTAGAAACACCAGCATTACAGCTCTCTGTGAGCTGCTGGCCCACACCACCCCCACCACCTCTCTGAAACACCCGGCCGGGGGCTCGGAGCTCCTTTCAGGCAGCCTCTCTCTTCGGAGTTTGGCTGTTGGCTGCTTCTTTCTCCAGAGGCCAAGCACAAAATGGGAGTCTGGGCATCCCAAGCTGGCTCCTGCCCTGCCTTAGAGCCTCATTCAGGGTCCCCCGACCTGGTTGATGCCTGCCTGATTGGACCATTTGAGGACCATCAGCCCATCTGGCACCGAATAATTAACTAAGGAGCTGATGACCTCAATGGGTTCCTTTAGCTCGCACCTCACTGGTCCATTCTATGATCCAGGTGTCAAATCTGAAAAGGCTGACACAGGGCCAGCAAGCCCCGCCAGCCTGGAAACTCCCCCCAGGGGGTTCGTGTTCATAGTAAGCTGGCACAAGGGAGGGCTGCCCACAGGCAGCAGCTTCTGGCACCGGCGGGAAAACCGCCAACTTTATCCAATGGCTCCCACCACTTAGGCAACGCTAGAAGAATGCCAGTCTTGTCCCGCAGTCCACACCCGGCCCAGGCTTCAGTGAGGTGACTGAGCGGATTGCATCCTTGCTCCCGGAAGAGGGGGTGACATCTTTTCCCACCTCCTGCTTAGAATACTCCCCACGCCCCTACCTTCATCCCTCCTGCAGTCTCAGCTCCCCAGCCTTTGGCATCCCCTCTCCCAGTGTCCCCTGCTGCCCACTGCTAAGCTCTGCCAAGCATTGTCCTACCCCCACCTCAAGCCCCACAAGCCGGAGAAGTCACTCAGCCACCAGACTGAGCTAGTTTCTCAGGGATTTATTGAGTAGGGAGAGGTGCTGTCACTTTCTGCTGAACATGTATCCTCAAGGAGGTACAAGAACTGCTTTGGGACAGACAGACACACCGGGGGCAGGGCAGGACAGGTGTTGGTGGTGAGCCGTGAGCACCAGGGGCAGCTCAGCTCTCGGCCAGGGCTGGGGGCTGCTCCTCCTGGGGGAGGGCCAGGGGCTGGTCCTGGCTCTCTTTCTCCTTGAGGGTGCTGAAGAAGGAGTTGACCTTGTCGCGCAGATCCTTCTCCAGGAAGCTCAAGTGGTCTTCCATCTCCCCCGCGTAGGGGCCCAGCTTCTGCCTGAGCTCCTCCACCTGCTGGACCATAACTTTGTTGAAGGTCTCGCCATAGGGCGCCACGCTCCGGCGGAAGGCCTCCACCTGCTGGTCCACCTGGCTGCTCAGCTCAGTCAGAGACTTCTGCAGCTCCTCCGTGTTGCCCCTCAGCTTACCGCGCACGTCCTCCGCCAGGGGCTCCAGCCTCTGCCGCATCTCGTCGGCGCGCGCGGAGATCTTGGTCTTCAGCTGGTCGGCGTTCTTCTTCATCTGGAAAGCCAGGCCCTCGAGCTGGTGGTTGAGCTTCTCCTGCACGTCCTTTGCAAAGGGAGCCAGGCTGCGGCGCAGCTCCTCCACATTCTGGTCGATCTTGACCTTGAGCTCATCCCCATAGGGTGTCAAGCGCCCCTTGATTTCCTCCACATTCTGGTCGAGCTTGGCCTTGAACTCCTCGGCGTAGGGAGACAGGGAGGTCTGCAGGTTGTCCACATTCTCGCGCAGCGCGGTCTCCATGCGCTGAGCGTAGGAGCTCAGCTGCTGCTTGAGCTGCTGGGTCTGCGCGTTGACCTGGGTGCGCAGCTCCTCGGTGTAGGGGCCGAAGCGCTGCTGCAGCTCGCGCACATTTTCCTCGATCTTCTGGCTCACCACCTCCGCGTGGGGTTGCATATGGGTCCGCAGCGCTTCCAGCTCTTTCTGAATCTCTTCCTTCAGCTTCGTGGAGTCCTTGGTCAGGCGTTCATGCATCTCTGTGGCAAAGGGCACCAGCTTCTTTTGCAGGTCGTCTGTGTAGGTGTTCACTTCCCCAAGTTTGTCCTGAAAGAGGGCGCTGCAGGGAGCAAAGGCACAAGGGGGCCGTGGTTACACTTGGCACTGTATGCCAGCATCTTATCTCCTTATCGCCACTCACGTCCTACACACCTGTCTAGGACAGGTGAGGGCTCAGGGGTGTCCAGTTACCACCTTTTCCCTGAGGCCATTCCCTATGGTGGTTGGTGATTTGAGAGAAGGACTAAACCCCTGGATTTGAGGCGCAGTATCTACTATCATGTGTCCTTGATAAGGTCAACTCCTTCTTCAACACCCTCAAGGAGAAAGAGAGCCAGGACCAGCCCCTGGCCCACCCCTCAGCTTTCCTCCCTCTGACCCGCAGGTAAAACAGGTGGCTTTGAGGTCCTGCGCAGCTCAGGTGTGCTGTGACATACAACCACATTTGCATGCAGAATGTCATGTGGGCCTCTTCTGGCATCTTCTAGGGACACCAGGTCCTGATTTCCTCGCATATGTCCACCCTCAGAGACCTCCCAAGTATTGCCATGCCCTTCCCCTGATTTCACGCGGGCCTGTCTTTCTGGAATGTGGTGGAGCTCAGCTCCCACGACATCTCCCTCTCTCCCCTTCTTCCATGAGTCTCAATGCTAAGAAGTGGGCATTTATCCAGCTCTGGAAAGACAAGGTAAGAAGACACCTTGGGGACATTCAGTGCAGCCTCCCTGTTTGTGTATGGGATCCCTGGTTCAGAGACTTTAGCATCACCCACTGGGTCAGTGGGTATCGTCAGCTCAGGTCTCCTGCCTCGAGCTCTGCCCTTGCTGTCATTAGGTGACCTTTGAGCAGGCACGCCCTGCAAACTGTGCCCCTCTTACTTGATCTGCTGGGTCAGTTCAGACTTCTGGATGTGTTCCACAGCCTCCTTGGCATTGTTGCTCAGCTGGCTGAAGTAGTCCCACACCACAGTGGCCACCTGATCAGCATTGACCTCAGCCCGGGCACCTGGGAAGGAAACAGCACAATTCATGAGGACCGGTCTTGCTCTTTGTCGCTCTGTTCCTGCCCTGACCCACAGACTAGCTGATGGGGGAGGAAGCTCAACTCCTGAAATCCCTCTCTGTGCTTGGCTGGTAAGAAGCCACAGCGTCGTGGGAAACTGGTGCGGCACCAAAGCTGGTGACTGGCCATCTGGGAGCCAATGAGTGTTCAAAACTGTCCGCGCACCTTGGCCCTGGACCCTCCACGCCCCTCCACTCCAGGCAGCAGTTGCATCCTGTACAAGCATCCCAGCTAGAGGTAGCTCCTACTCACCGGTGACAGCCACCAGGGCCAGGGTCAGGGCCACAGCCTTCAGGAACATCCTGGGCTCCTCTCTGGGCTGGGAGAGTCTCACTGCACTGGATCCAGGGGACCAGGGGAGCTCGCCTGGACTGCTGCTCTCTGAACTGACTGGAGTTTGAGCCAGCCAGCCATTTAAACCCGCGCCAGGCCTCTCTCCCCGCCTCCCTCCCCAGTGTGACTCCACGCTGGAAGGTGACACATTCCTAGGAGGCCTCTTGGACTTTTGTGACCCTAAGACGACGTGGAGCCAGCAGCAGACGGGGTCTGGGCAGCTGTTCTGTGCTGGCGCCACACCCAGTGTGGAAGGGAGGGGGAGGGGGAGCCACAGCTGTGGGAGAAACAAGGTCCAGGGAAGCCCCCGAGTCCAGGACGGATGCCCTAGAGGCCTGCTGGCAGCTCGGGGTCTGTGTCAGGCTTGGTGGAGGAGGCAAAGTTCACCAATCTGCTCTGAGCCTGGGGAGAAAGCCCCCACCTCCATATCTGCCACAGAGTGCTGGCCACTAGATGGGGGTGGCTGAGAACCCACAGATGGGGCAGTGAATTAAATCTAGGCTTCTGGTCTCCCAGGAAGAGGGGGCCCCTTGAGAGCCCTTGGGCAGGGTGTGGGGAAGGCAGGGCCCTGTTCTCAGGGTTAGTTGGAAGTGCTCTTCTGTCCCTCTGCTGCCAGGCTGGGCCACCTTGGACCAGTGACTCAGCGTGACCTGGCTCTGAGTCCCAGTTTCTCCTTTGAAAAAGGGTGTGTTGGGAGCATAAGATGGGAGTGCACCTGAGCGGTGAGGAACGGAGTGCCTAGCACAGAGTAGACACTAAAAAATAGGTGCTCTGATGATTATTATTATTACACAACAGTGTTGTTTTCCTAACTTGGACCAAAACAGGGAGGGTGGCGTAGGGAGAGTGGCAGAGTTAGATCCAGTGCTCTGGGGGTCCCCAGGAGGACAGGAGGTGGCATGACCAAGGCAGGGCCAGCCCAAGGCCTGCTTCCCGCCCCTTCCCCCCAGCCATATGCCCTGGTAAGAGCAGACCTGGAGCCTCCCAGGGGGCCTCTCACCAAGGGAGGGGTGTGCCCAGAGGCCTTCTGCTTGGGCTTCTAAACTTATCTCCAAGTGAGGTAACATGCACGACCCTAGAAAGGTGGTCACCCAGAATACGTGGCAGCCTGGCCAGCTTGGACCTCTCGGCCGGGCCCCCTGCCTTTTGTAAGGAGGTGAAGCTCATCTCACTCCCCTGTGTGAGCACAAGCCGGGCTGGTGGCTCCCCAGTTACCTGCCATTAGAATACATCACCGTTGTGCTGACCTGGATTGACCTCGTCTCTCCATTTTTCCACATTCACAAGTGGCTTGATGTCCCACAGAATGGAAGACAGCACAAGTGCTCCTGCTGCAGGACTGACAAGCCTGACACTGGAGGTGACCGTGGGAGGTGACCACAGGGTAGGGGGACTACACTACGGTGTCAGGGAGCTCGTCTTCCCTGGAGTGGCTGCTCGGCTCGTCAAAGTGCTTAAGGCCTTAGATTCTGGAGTCAGACTCCCTGGGCTCACAGCTGGGTTCTGTGTGACGTCGGTGTCTTAGTCTTGCTGAGTCTCGGCCATCTCGACAGAACAAGGCCCAGACCCTGCCTCTGGGGGCCTGAGGGTTCCATGAGCTGCCTGGTGTGAGGCTGGGACAGGACCTGCCTGGACTGGGCCAGCCCAGGGTGGGTCAAAGGTCAGCACTCAGTGCTCCCATCCCTTTCCCAGGTTTCGAAGAGGAGAGCCCTGACATGAAAGACACCTCAGCTGCAGTTTGGCTTCCTGGACTGAGAGTGTGAGCAGCAGGTGACACCAGCGCGTGACGGGTCCAGAGTTCGCCTCTGTCTGGCTGTCAGGGGGTGCACACACAGGAGGAGCGTCTGTGCCCGTGGAGCACATCTGGAAGTTTCTACCAGCTGTGCACAGATTGATGTGGGTGTGCAGCTGCCCAGGATGTGCAGCCGTCCCTGGGCTCACAGCTAAGCCTGCAGCTGAGGGACTGGAGCTGGTGTGTAAACGCAGCCACAGCCTCGGGCAGGACATGCTGCCCCCTGAAAACGTGTTGTGGGTGGGGCGCCGTGAATGAATGCATGTATGTCCCAACATCTGTGGGCATGTTTTGTATGAATCTGCAAAGGATTTGTGCTAGGAGTATGAGACTCTGTGCCCAGGTTAGAGGGTATGAGGTGCTGATGGAAAGACATCCCTGCTGCCAGCTGAGCCTCCTGCTCTCTGGGACACAGGTCACAGCATCTCCCATGGGGTCTGCCCTCTGTGCCCAGCTATGGAACCCTGGTGGGCACAAAGGCCCTGTAATATCTTTTTATTTCTTTTATAGTAATGGTTTGCAGCACTGTAAATGATTAAGAGAATAGGTTCACACCTCCTCAGATATGTGTCATCACCCCAAAACCACCAGCAAAGCCCCCGGATTCCTTTACCCTAGGCCAATAGGCTCTCTCCCCAGCTCACCCTCTAGTAGTTTCATTATATATATATCTGCAGTTATGTTTCTAATATTTGTTTTGGTTTAATTTTATCTGTTCCTTTGCATAGTTTCTCTATCTTCCACATATGAATAAAAACATCCAGTATCTGTCTCTCTCCTTCACACTTATTTCATTAGCATTATCCCTTCCAGTTCCTTCCATGTTGTCTCAAATGGTAAGGTTCATCTTTTTTTACACCTGAGTAGTATTCCACATCTTCTTCATCCACAACTCTGTCATGGGCACTTGGCTCTTGTAAACAGTGCTGCAGTGAACATAGGAGAACAAATAAACATTCAAATTAGTTGTTTTTGCATCATTGGGGGCCTAGGTGATCTTGCACGTGATGCCTTCTTCTCTGAGCTTCGGGCTCCTTGTTGCTACAACAGACTTAATGGCTGGTGAGACAAAGAAGCTGCGAGTCCAGCATTAGCTACAGCCCCTATCCTGTCCACCCACAGGGGTGGAGCCAGAGATCACACCGGATGCAGAGCAGGGAGGGCTCAGGAACAGGCCTGGCCAAGGACAGGCAAGTCGCATGGACACAAACCCCACATACGTTCCACACAGGCCTGCCCCCGGCAGAATGAAAGGAGACAGCTTGGGTAACAGAGAGGATCTGGGTGAGAAACTGGGAGGAACCGCCAGCATGGAGAGCATGGAAACCTGAACGTGGGCCCTGAATCAGGGCCGCCTGGTCCCGCCCAGGGCAGGGGCTTGGTCCCAGAGGCTCATGGAACAAGCTTCACTTGGACACAAGTGGGAAAAGAGTCAGCCCAACCCTGACCAGTCAAGCCTCCTCCTCTCACCCCTGCACCCCTCCCCCCAGAACTGGTCTGTGGACCAAGCTTGGAGAGGTTCCCTTATTCAGGGATGGAGGGGGGCACGGAGGAGAGAAAGGAGGCGAGCAGCTGAGGGGCCCAGGCTGGAGCCGCTGGGAGGGCCACAGGCACACACAGGGCCAGTCCCTGGTTCTCTACCCAACTCAGCACCACCCTGCTGAGTCTCTCTGCCTGCATCTTCTGACCTCCCGGGCCATGCAGACGAGAGGACAGGCTCCCCCAGGCCTCCACACACACACGGAAAGGTTGCTGACAGGGATGAAGGGATCCAGCCAGCATATTCTAGCATGCCCAGGGCCAAGGCCACCGCAGTCCAACCCAGCCTGCAATCTGGATTCCCATGTGGCTCCAGCTCCAGGGTTGAGGAAGACACCAGAACAGAAGAGGAAAGTGAGCAGAGTTGACCTACTTTCCCCAAATCCTTCAGTGGCCTATTCAATCACCTTCCTTCCCTCCCACCCCATCTCCAGCATGTGTGCTCAGAAGAAGACCCGGAACTGAGTTACTCTGGTGTCAGTGGCTAACAAAGCCCCAAAGGGCTTATCTCTCTCCCCACGCTGTTTGGTACTAGATGGGTATTTGTTCCCAGCTCTATTACTGATGAGCTGTGTGTGCAGCTTTGAGCCTTAGGTTCTTCACCTGTGGAGTGGAGGTAATAATATCTACTTCACAGGAATCGACTTGCATTTTGTCAGAAAACAAAACTCAGTCAAAGGAATGAATCTCCAATAGAGAAATTCAAGTCTCAACCCGAGGAAAAGAATTCTGAGGGTAGGACCAGGCCACTTTCTTAGAGGTCTGAGTTCCCATGTCGGGGTTAGTTATTTCTTCCTGAGGTGATGGCTGCCTGCCAACAGCTCTGTTTCCAGAGTGGAGGCTCCTCCTACCTTTGGCCTATGCTATCTGAGGGAAGGGGAAGGTGTTTGGGAGCAAGGGGGAGAGATTTCCCAAGCCCTCTCCATGGACCACCTGCTTTGCGGTCTCATTTATCTCTCAGTAGCTGGCACACTGGGGTTTACAAAGGGGAGAGTGGGGCCTCCCCAGTGGCGCAGTGGTTGAGTTCTGGGCTGGAAGCTGCCCGCGGCCTCTGTGGCACCAGTTCGATCCCCGGCTGCTCCCCGGCTGCTCCCCAGCCACCAGAGGAGCGTCCCACATGGAGCCCACTGCTCCCCTCAGCAGTGTACCTCGGTCCTTCTGCCTGCTCTGCTCCCCGCTCTGGCTCTGGTGAATTCTCTCACCCTCCCGCGCTTCTGACTGTACCCAGTGCTTGTATAAATAAATAAATAAATCTTTAAAAAAAAAAAAAAAAAAACAAAGGGGAGAGTGGTGGCTCTGAGAGCTTAGATCTCTGGTCCCAGGTGAGATGCGCAATCGTCAAAGGTGTCATTGAACCCGAGGATGTCTTTTTTTTTTTTTGTGGGACCCTCACTGGTGGCCGGGGATCGAGCCAGTGCTGCAGAGGCTGCGGGCAGCCTCGCAGGCCAGCGCTCAACCGCTGCGCCACCAGGGAGGTCCTCTCCCTCCCCCCCCCTCCCCAGGATGTCTTGATGCAAAGTTTTAATCTCCAGACAACAGAGCCCCCAGATCCTGCCATCCAGGCAGCAGTGCCTGGCATGGGCCAGGGAACGGTTCATCTGAGGGCCCCGGGCCTCTCCTGGATAGGACAGGGTCCC